ATCCGATAACGTTAACTGAGATATTATTTCATGCAGTGTCTCTTCTCGTTATCAGTCAATTCCAGAAAGCTTATTATTGACATTAAAAAGCACTAAATAGCTGCAGTTTTGCATTGAAATCATGAACGTATTGAATGGAATCCACTGTCTGGTAATATGTCATGTAAAAAATTCAATGATGACGTAAAACCGATAATAATGATTGAGTGTCATGCTAATTCTTCAATTCAGATAAGAATAGTTCTAATAAAGTATAATTATATTTTAATAGTTTACACACAATGATAAGTTTTGTTATTGGTAATATTTCGAGCAAAATTACTGCCCGTGTTCACACCACAGTTGGAATTGTTTTACCCCTGCAACTTTTCAGTCCCGAAATCTATGGATTATATACAAGAATATGATAGTTACCTTTTCTTAAAAGTAAAGTGATTTGTATAAAAGGCAAAACCTCACACACTGAATCAAGCAAACACTACCAGTTAATGTCAGTGTCACCCAACTACTCATATCAACCAATCAGTAGTATATATTGTCATACATCTGAACACTTAATTAGCCTGTAATCTCACCTCTGAATATTGCTGCGTATTTTATTTACTGATAACATTAAAGTTATCAATGTGTATAGTGAAACCAATAGTTTCTAAGAATTTGTCTTAAATGATAGGTTAAATTCAGCCAAGCAATCTGTTACTTAAGCAACAATGCATATTATCTCAGAAGGGATTATTCTATCAAAAAGCATCAAAGTTATTAGACATTTGAAAGATTTATTACTATTATTATGTAATGACAACGTCCATTTCACGTTTGAAGGTGAACATTTTCGACAAATGGATGGCATTGCTATAAGGAGTCCATTAGGACGTTTGTTAGAGGACGTGTACATGTCTTATGTTGAGAACTTGTCCCTTGATTTAATTTCTAAATCGCCCTTCTATAGGAGTTATGTAGATGATATCAGTTTGATATGCAACGATCATGAAGGTGCAAGTCGTCTATTAGACAGACTTAACTCTGTACAGAATCATATTAGTCTTACATGCGAGGAAGAAAGTCGCAACCAGCTTGCATTTTTAGACATAATTCTAAGTCGAAGAGATGATGGCTCAATAAGACGGTCTATCTACAGAAAGCCCACTTGGACAGGGCAATACCTTAATTTTCAAAGCCTTTGTCCATTACAGCATAAGAGAGGCTTGGTGAAGTGTCTATTTAAGAGGATTCAGCGTATTTGCATGGCTGATGTTATAGACAAAGAAAATGAAATATTGATGGATACTCTTGTTGAAAACGGATATAGTCTTTAAACCTACAATCCATACTGCCCCTAAGAAAAGTATTTTCACTAAATTACCATATAACGGGGAAATAAATAGTAGGATTTTGAGACAAAGGTTGAATTCGATCATCCGTAGAACCTATTATGCATCCCAGATTGTAATTGTCGAAAAAGCTAAAAATATGCTCCACTGCAAACCTCAAAAGTGCAAAAGTGATTATGTCACATCCCACACTATTTACCAATTTTCGTGAGTGTGTGTGGTCACACATACATAGGGAAGAGTAATCGCGCTATGCATGTGAGGGTGGAAAAGCATTCTCCAAAATGGCTAGAAAAACCAATGAATTGTGAAAATATGAATCAGGCATTAAGAAGACAAATTTCGCTTTACAACTAACAGGGTTAACAATGATAAAATAAAGTTCATGACAATTACTCAGTTAAATAAAAAACAAAAGTACATACTAATGACCAATCATATTTAGATAGGTCATGTTGTCCATGGTAGGCGAAGATTGAAGTCTATCTTTTTTTGTACACACAGTTTAGGCTGTATGTGATTGCATGGAGGATTTCATCATGAACTGACATCAGTTAGAGAACCACTAAAAAACAGGCTGGGAGTACTGGACAGCTGTTTCGTCCTGGTTTGGGACTCTTCATCAGTACGCATCTACGGGGGTTCGAACCCAGGACCTTCTGGTTATAAGGCGGGCTCGTAGACCGTTGAGCCACTGGGACCCGATCCAATGGTCCTTATATTCTAACTTCTGCCAATTCGCGACATAGCGCGAGCAATTCGCAATGTCTTCTTCGATGAGTTACTGCCTCATCTTCAACCTGCTGTATGTGATTAATCCAAAGCGATTCCATCACCTTCAATAACCTTGAATTAGAGTTATGTGAAATATTTGTGAAACAGTCATTAATATTGATTTTGTGACCTGACACTAATAAGTGTTTTGCAATGGATGATGCTGGATTTCTATTCAGAATTATAGCGTTGGGATTTTCCATATGATTTAGTAGCCATTTTAAAACATGTTCTTTTCGACGATATTGGAACATTCTGTTGGTTCTACCTATATAGGTGTCACCGCAGCTGCAGGTGAACTTGTAGATACAGTTTGAAGTAGAGTCTACAGAATTTCGTCCTTTAATCGTAGGAAGAGGGATCGAAAATTTTCTGGAAGTGAGAAAAAGAAATATATATATATATATCGACTTGACAAGTAAATGTGTGATCAGATTGTTCGAAATGTATGGCGCAAATACATCACATCTTTCAGGTAATCTCCGTCTCTTAATAACGCTATCCATATTAGACTATTGTCAGAATCACTGAACACTCTTTAATGCACTTATAATGTGAATGGATAAATGCGTAGGTACATTTGTACTGGAGCTCATATCTATAACTGAAATATACTGCCCAACAACTGATATTCTTTTGTGAATACATCCACCTTAGTATGATAGAAACCTAAAATTGTAATTGACTAAAATAACTAATCATTCACTTGTTTATCGGTAGCCTTCTGTCTTTTTCATAATAATAATAAAAGGATTCTTTATTTTAGTACTTGTATTCTTCATCTATAGGTTGCTAACTTTTATTGTCTCATGTAATGATGCATTCTGATTATTGTTTATAATAATAATAAATGTCGACTTGCGGATACAATAATGCACAAAGACACTTATAAGTATAAAAATAATCTTTTCCATGATAAAACTAGCTTTATTTTAGTTTATATTAAAGATATTATTTTAAACAGTGCTTAAGTTTATCAGAATTATCTCTCCTTGATATGTATATATACATCCATAGTTTATATTTGCATTCCGAAACTGGATATTTATTACTTAAAATAAACAAAACTGTAGTTATTCAAGTGAAAGTTTAGTCTCTTATCTTACTTTCAAAAAGTACATTTTATCCTCTTGACTCACCGTATTATCCCAGTGTTTATTTAATGACTTTGAGAAAATGAAGCATTATGAATAGTTTACCGCATGTAGTATCAAATGTATATACCATATAAGAAGTTAAAATAAATATAATAAATTGATTTTGTCTTAATTTACCTTTCATGCACCTTTGAATATAGAAATTTTTATTTCAAGGGGAATAATTTCAATTTGTTTAAATCAATTAAAATAGTACTCAATAAATGCTGAGTACTAACAAATAAAAACCGGTTTCCGATCAATCATTAGAAGCATTCAAATATTTCCCATGAAATCTCTTTCATTCGATCTGCAGTTGAGCAGAGAGAGAGGAGATGTCTTTCAAGAACTGTATTGACGTACTTTTTAGCAGAATAGACATAGGAAAGCACACTATTTCATTTAGTACAGGTATAAGATGCATATTATCAAATTCTGTTTCAGGTAGATAATAAGTGTCTTTCTTCTTTGGACATTCAGCTTTATTATTTAAATTTCTGTATTTCTTTATGTTCCAATTGGTAACACGGCTTCAAGCCTAGAGCTCTGAATGTTTAGTGGTGGTGGGAGGCTCTTACACGGTGGAGTTCCTAACCTTCACTGTCTAAAACCATACTCTCCGACCCCCAACACCCCCTCTATTCCCAACTCTCTCCTTGTATCTCATCACGTAGAACCAGAAATCAGTACAAAATAATATATGCTCGTACAACCAAGTATAGGAGCTCAACGATACCATATTTAGCCCGTGTTCTAAGTGACAGAGACAATGTTAAGCACGAAACCTATGACTTGCTTTGTTGTTAATAACATAATTTTGGCCCTTGTTATTTCCCTCTTATACTCTTTTATTTGTACTCTATAGTGAACAACCTTCTTAAACGTACTTAGCTACCTAAAATTATTATCATTGGCTTACTTTTTTATTCTCAATACTATTCCTTATTTTGTGTATCTACTGGTCATGACTATATTACCACTATGAGTATTACAAAATTATCCTGTCAATAACCTTCATGTAATATTAGTTTTGCGATTGTTTTTGTTGTTCGTCAATATTAAACTGACAATCTTCGTTGTGAACACCGTTATCACCATCCTAAAATTTTTGTATTATGCATGATTACTCACACTACCACAACAAACACTGCATTAGTGCTGACAATAATAAAAAACCTGAAATATTTACTTTATGATTGTTAAGTGTGGTTAACTGATCATCTTGGCTATAAACATTCTTAAGAACATCTCATAACTTCTTGTATGATTATAGCTGTTACTGTTCACCACGCATACACATTTCATAGCTTCCACTACCCAATACTGAAATATTATTCATTATTGGTGTTTATCTTCCTTTCTACTTGGTATTTTTATTTGGATTTTTTGTTACTTTTTGTGTTTCTTTTTGGTGTTTGTTGTTGTTTTTTTATATTTTTTTTGTAATACTCCTTTTAAATTTGCGATGAAATTAGATGCAATATTGTAGATATATACTGGAAATTCCACACTGTACCACTAGTACTGTTTCTGGAATAAAAGCAAAATTATTATTAAAAAACTATTATTATTTAAGGCTTATGACTGGCTGTTAAACTAGACTAGGATCCGGTGTGCCAACTGAGAATCAACTTGTAAAAAATCCGATGAAGAATTTTTATCTTCTTGCAAAACTCATCTGTATTAGAATGAAAGAATCACTGTTTGCACAACAATACACTTAAATTTGCTATTCCATCTTTTGTTTTTTTTTAAACAGGGTGAATGGTATAGTGGATTTAAATACTACGCAAAATGTTGGTGCTCATCGCCAGGAATAATGACTAGTACACTAACAATTTACGATTTGAGTCCAAATGATGTTGGCCGGTATCAATGTCACATGGATAATGGTATAGGATCTCCAGCTGTTCGTACAATTGATCTTACTTATCCGTGTAAGTTGAGGTTTGACATATACCAAATACTGTGAGTGTGTTTAACTTCATCTTATACTTTGTAAACTAAACATTGTCATATAGAATTCCCCTTATAAAAATTCATCATCGAGTCCCAAGAAGTATATCTGCTACGTAAATCAAGTGGGATAAGACGATTTGTAGCTATAAGCTTGTATTTTTCGTCTAGAATGTGTTCTTAATCTTAGATTCATTACACATGTCCGCAATTTTATTTCCTCTATTTCCTTGAGCTGTACTGATTATATTGTCATAAATACAAAGATTAAATCTATCAAAGCAACCGAAGACAAAATTTAAACACATTTTCCAGATTCTATGAATTATGGGCAATAAAAGTTGCTATCAAAGAAGATGTACATTTCCAGAGTTTATAACATTCATGATAATCCAAGAAATATTTTAAGCTGTGAAAAGGAGGCATTTTATTTTGACTTCTTTCTAAGATCTTTGATCATTCACAGATATTTTAAAAACCGAGACTTGTCAAGCTATTATGCCCAGCCTTCATTGATTTAAGCTGACATCTCTTTGTATGTACATTAATCACGCATCAAAATATACCACATTTTAGAGGCTATGGAAAAAAACACTGTCAGATATAGGAAGCCAACAGACGGATGTTTGTTTACAAAACTACTTTATTACATTTTTATTTGTAACAAATGTTGTACTGGCCCAGATATTACGGCCAGCAGGCAGCCTTACAATCAAGCCATTCTATTTGATTGAAAACTACACAGCTCACAGAGAGTTGCCACCTTTGGAAAAGATTAGTAAAATTACGAATGTGAGGGAGAGAGAGAGAGGAGTAAAATAAATACAAAAGAAAACATTCAGAACCTCGAAGATCATAAAGAAGAAATACATTTGAGACATACAGGTCATGAATAAGTCTATGCACAATTCATTGATATAAAGGAGACCGTCACCTGATATTAACTGATTAAAATAGGACACAGAGGCGAACAATATGGTTTTCCCCAAGCTTTAAAATTTTATCCAAAAACGGTGAATTTTGGGTCAATGATAAATGTTGTAAATTTGACAGCGACAATGATAATATAGCTGGCAATAATTATACAGATATTTGACGCAGGTGTAGATAAGAGTAATGAAGAAACAAACGTCTCGATAATTAAATTAGGTTAAGATGTTATAAAATTAGAGATTACATAATATTAAAGATTGGGCGGATAGCTAAACAAAGCTTAAATAAAGGGTGGAGAATAAGAAATGGTGGCATGTTGAATAAATTTACCATGGCAGTGGAAGGAAAGAAGGCGATATAAACTCCTTTTCAACACAAAGAACGTTTATTTTATAGAATAACCATCTTTAGGAGAGGAATTTGAATTCCGTTCAAAAAGTTTGTAAGAGTCCATGAATACAAACTAGTGGTTAAAAGACATGACATGGTTTAATTTGTATCCATCTATATAGACAAATTAGAACGTCAATTCAGTTGGGTAAAATTAATAATCTTAGACTGAGGAAATATGAAGAGTCGGCAGAATTCAGAATTCATGGATTAGTGGACTTCATCCCAGTGTCTGAATGGTCAGCAAGCGCGCTTCGTAATCTGATGTTGATTTTACTGTTGATGAGATCATTACTACTCACTCCTCAAGAAGATGAATGAACTTTCTAGTATTCCCTGATTTCCATTGATTCTCTAAGTAATGTCAGCTGTTGGTCGAACTTCACTGTAAAGCATGTCGCACACTCGCATTAACTTCAAATTAATAGATATGCTGATACAAACAAAGTTGGTCAAATAGTGAGGAACACGTCACGCGATTAAGTGTCAGATCAGCGGTGCGACCAGAATCAATACAAGTGGATATAACAATAAGAAAACCCCCAAGTAGAACCAAACCTATTCATCAGAAAACACGGTTGGGTTATCCATAGGTGATAATCCCTAAACATCACTTCGCATTGGAAATTCCGCTAAAGACTCTTCTCAGCCAGCCCATCTAAAGGACAGTATACAACAATGAAAAGAACAAAAATTCACACCAATTTTTATCTTAATCTATGTTTCTTTACAACCATTTGCCAAAGATTTCTGCAGAAAGAATTTTGCATCTAAACAATTTTTATTGGTTGTATTTCACCTTTGTTTTCCCCACTAAATCACACATTTCATTTCATAGTTGAACCACGAATCGTCCCAGTAACAAGATGGTCAAGAGCTGCATCAAATATGATTTTGACAAAGAATAAAACCACCACAGCTATCCAATCACATCAAGTTCCCGATCAAATAAGCTCTATTTTAAGTGGTCCTCATGCACGGTTAACATGCGTCATTGCAGCAGAACCTATGCCAGAAGTACAATGGTTACGTGAACCAGCAAATTTAACGCTAATTGAAGGTGGTCAATTCCGTTCAATTGTTAAACCAATTAGACCAGGTCTATATCATGCAATATTGTATTTAATCCAACCACAAGATGTCGATTTAGGGAGATATTTTTGTAAAGTAAGTTAGACACAATACCATGATGTTCTGTTGTTTAAAAATATGTCATTGAAAAGATCTTTTAAACATTCATCTATTTTGCATAATACGCATAAACATTTGAATTAAAGTACATATTTCCTGTTACGATAATGATAGCTTTGCGGTGTTTAGGTAGTCTTTTCCCCTGTGAATTTAATTAAACGGAAAACATTTTTTTGTTGTTTTCCACAAGTTTCAGACTACTTAGGTATTATCCAATTTTTTCAAATCTGAATTTCATTCAGTAATTAAGTTCATCTGATGTTTTGCACAAGAAAGACGCACAGTGAGAGAGAGAGAGATGTACTGCACCATATGGTAATTTCTTACCAAAATTAACAGATGTTTTAAGTGCCGAGACAAAGATATTAGACGTTCTCAATTTATAACTTATTATGTATTACTATTGGCAATCATAGAATCAAATTACTCTTTTATTCAGTAAAAATGAAACTGTGACTCTCTGGAATTGAACAATACCAAAATAATTTCTGTATCGGACAGATAAAATCATACCTTCACATGATTATTCTGCTGAATCAATCCCTATGAATGAATGTCACACACACACGAAGCATGGCGTTTTTCACAAAAAACACACGAGTAAATACGTGTCTCTTCTTTTTGTCATCGAAATTAATCGAATGCATTTTTTTTAAAAACTTTTCGCTGAAATTTAATCGAAGTGCTCTACAAGTATTTTTCATAAAATTTGAAGGCGCCATTGTGTTCTGTTTTTATTTTATTAAACGAATAGGTGACAGACATGTACAGTGTAATTATTGCTTACATATGTGTAGATGGAATTGCATATTAGTTCATTAGCTACACTAAACTTAGGTCATTAATAAAACTGAATTCGAAGATCAAAACAAAACTTGGGATCATTTTGTATTCTTTACACAAGACTTCTTAGTATTGTACAAATTTTCCATGTTTCATGCAAAGTGAAATAACACTGGAAAACCTGGGAGTACTGGACAGCTGTTTCGTCCTAGTTTCAAACTCTTCATCAGTACGCACCCACCGGGATTCGAACCCAGGACCTGTCAACTCATGATGAAATCCTCCATGCAATCAAACCAAAACCCTACAAAACCAATACTTGAAAATTAATCCGATGCCCACTAGCTACTGGCCCTTTCAGGCAGTTAACCTGGAGTTCTAGTGGGAAGCCGTGACCACTAGGGTGCAGCAGGTCAAAGATGAGACAGTAACTCATCGAAGAAGACATTGCGAAGTGGTCGCGCTATGTCTTGAATTGGCAGAATTTAAAATTCAAGAACCATTGGATCGGGTCCCAGTGGCTCAATGGTCTACAAGCTCGCTAGCCCTGTAACCAGAAGGTCCTGGGTTTGAACCCCTGTGGGTGCGTACTGATGAAGAGTCCCAAACTAGGCTGGCTAAACATCTGTCCAGTACTCCCAGGTTTTCCAGTGGTTCTCTAACTGATGTCAGCTCATGATGAAATCCTCCATACAATCAAACAAAATCCCTACAAAACCAATAGTTGAAATAACACTGATGACTTTCAGCAATCTGTTTAACAGTAGTTACAATTATCACATTATTTGCTTGTAATGTCTTGATGATAAAGGCAGAAGAATCTCAAACATTAACCATTACAAATGAAATATTTCTTTGCATAGAAAGAGTCATCTGAACTTAATCAACTTCAGCATTCCTGTAACAGTTTACAATTCTCTTACACTCTTAGGGTTAGGTTAAAAATAAGAACTGGTGGGAGTTACCTTTCTCCTACTCAATATATATCAAATTAGGAAATCTTCTTCCATGAATATATACAGTAAAGGCGTAAAATTTAATGTATAAGTGTTTCTTTTATAATATCCCATTGTTGTATTCATTTGTAAATATTTATATTATACGAATATGTAAGATCGAATTCACATTCGGACACTGAGTTGTTGAGCACTCCATATTTTTGTAGACCGTTTATCACATTTATTTCCAGTCATTCACTATAGTCTTCACATATAATGTTACATTTTATCAATACATGTAACTATATGAAAAATGCTTAAACTATGTGTTGAAATATCGTCTAATGATATGAAAATGCGACATTTTTGTGATTATTTCAGAGGGTGATTTTATGCATAAAATCTTAGAAGTAAAATTTTTTGAAAAGAAAAATAGTGGCGCCATTATGTCATAATGACTTTTGCAACATGCGCCACTATTCTAATAAGTAGAAAGGAGTTAATTATGAGCAATACCTAAATTACTAATTTCATAAATCTAGTAGTGACATTAAGTACAAAGACAATACTTTGAACTCAGTGTATTCTGATAACGGTTATAGTATATGCCTGCTGATTGTCTTCAACCATCTAATGCCAACAATTCACAGTACACCGTGATGGTGAGCCACCTTACATGGTGGCCACATTGCAAACTTGACTGATAGAATTCGCAGTCTGCACAAAAGAAAGGACTACACACATTACACTAGTTGCTGACAAGTGTCCAGTCGAAAATAATATAAGGCATTATATTACTCTACAAATGCTTCAATAATCTAAATTCTTTCTAGTCTGCTTTTTAGGATAATCAGTGTGTATTTCAAAGCTCTGTCTTACACCGTAAGTTAGACAGGATACATTCAGTGTTTCTCAAGATAACACGACAAATCACTTTGATAAACTTGCTTATGGAATTTTGTTAATACGAACTTTATGAAACAAAACTATAGGAAATACCGATTAAGTTGCGAATGTTAAATAAAATTTTCACATGCATTCTCTGCATCTATAACAAATAAATTCAGAGAAAATATGTTAAACATAGTTACGAAACATCAACAAGAAAACGTTTCAAGAAATTCCTTCATTTTTAAAGCAGTTATTCCCGTTTTCATGTGAAATGACTCTGTTGTTTGCTATGCTTTTTCAATAGGCAAAGAATTTAGTCGGTGAAGATACTGGTCGCGTGGATTTAATACGTCCAGTTCAACCAGATGTACCCAGCTCTCCACGTTTAATCAATGCAACCAGTTCAAGTTTAGCAGTATCATGGACACAAGGATTCAATGGTGGTCCTGAACAAACATTTCTAGTAAGTCTATTATAGTAATGTGTATAATATTGTTATTATTCCATTATGTTCTCAGTGGAATGCTGGGTTTCAACAGTCTATCTCCTTTTCATTCTGCTCTCTGAAGTCCTCTTAAGCTGACTTCATGATTACTTAACAAATTTCATCTCCTTCCCACATGATCTCCTCCGCATCATCCTTGGACAGCCAACTCATCGCTTTCTACTAGAGTTGCACTTGAAGGTCTGGCGTGTGATTTCACTCAACTCAACGGTGTTCCCTGTTAGGGTTAGGGTTATTATTATTATTATTCTTTCACGTTTCCAGTGGAACATTGGGCTTCAAGCTAGTCGCTTGAAGTATCTGTAGCAGGATGGGGTTGTTAGCCTCATGCCCAACCTTCCCTCTTTACTGGCTTTTTTATTCCTGGCTTAGTGAGGTAAAGGAATGCGTTGGCCGGGGATCGAACCCCGGACCACGTACATGGTTGGCGAGCGTCTTTCCTTGTGTGCCAATGACGCAACAGTCTTCGGTGGGTTTGTAGAATCCACTTCCCCTTTCTTCCGCATATTTGTTGGACACTAGGTTCTCCGCTGGTTCTAGACGGTTCTAAATCGAGAAAATGTGAAGGGTAGGTATGGGGCTAGCGATCCTACTCCATGAAGTTAACCATACTACTATAGAAACTTCAAAGAACGGGAAAAATGTGTTTTAGCAAAATTAGAATTCTTCTGTGAAGTCACTTAAAATTTTTTTCTCAATAGAGCTACTCTAAAGTAAATTACTTCTACTGCCTCTGTATAGATCATCTAGGTACAATTCAAAAGCAACGATTTAGCAGTTAAAAGAGAAAACTAAATTAATGATATGATTGCTATGGTATTACTCTGCTGGCTTTTTAGTTTCGGTATATTGCATTCTTATTTTATGTAGGTGGAAAATTTAGTACTCTGTTCGATGAATTTTACTGTCAACCTAATATGACAAATTGGTATTTTAATAACATTTTTATTTTATTTTTAAATAAATGCATGGTATGTATTTGATGTGACCAGTTGAGGGTATTTTATGAGAGAATAAAAATGTTTGCCAAAAAGGTAACTGTGGTTTTACTGAGTGCCATAAGTGTATACCGTAGTACTTTGTATATATGAAAAGAACTTTGCTTTGTATTCCTTTTTGAATTTTGGTACTTTGATATGTTTTCTTTCAAAAATAAATACTGTGAAGGTTACCATAACCAGTAAGTTCTCCTTGTTTGGCAGATATACTCAGATGCAAAAACAACGACACCTCATGCTAGATTTTAAATCTGTACTGTGACAAAAAGAAGTGATTTGAAAATCACCATAACATGTGATTTTTCTTTGCATTTGACATTCTCACATGGACAAAATCGAGTACTGTAATCAAGTATTGTAATCGAACTGTAATCAAAATAAGTAAAAATACTATTTACAGTTACAGAGAATATAAGATGGTTTTTGTATATGACAAGCCGATCGGAAACAACTACATTTACAGGCGGTGTGGAGTATTGAAACGCCATTCAGTTGAAAAGCATGTATATGCCATTCTCAGATTTGCAAACTAATTCTAGGGATTTCTTTTTGACTCAACCCTTAAACTCTACTCTGAGGAAACCATACGCTTTACTGTTATGCTAATTATCTACCAATTTGTACATTCTTACCAGCATCATGGAATAGATAGGTGTACAGTTCTCTGTTTAGTGACTTTATCGGCTCAGTAAACAGAAAGACTACTCTCCTATGACACTTGCTGGGAGTCGCGCTACATAAACATATGTATAAACATATCGCGAAATGACAGAGGTTGGAATTCATGCGTTATTGGATTGTGTTCCAGTGACTGCATGGTCTGCGAGCTCGACTGATGACCGGTAGATACGCACCGCTAAAAGAGTCTCAAGCTATGACAAAAAATCTGTTCAACCCTTTCTGGTTTTCCATTGCTTCTTTAACTGATGTCAGCTAGAGATCATATCTTCAATGGATTGTCTTCATCTATGATTTTATTAAATTTCACAGGCAGCACAATATTATTCTTTCCACGGAATTTACTTCTTCATCTAAATATAAACATTCTCTTAAAAAGTGGTCTTTTAAAGAAGACTATATATATATATATAGAAATCACTATGATTGTCGAACAACTGTAAACAAAACTCATTTCTCATTGAATTTCTGAGCAATTTAAGTGAAAATATATTTATGATAAAAACATTGTTTACAATAGCCAAAGCTCTTCTGTCATGTTAATCTCTTAACTTATGGTTATCAAAATACTTCTTACTGTGTGTTTTTTTAAACATTTGTAAATAAATTTTCCTCTTAAAAATTGCTTAGTTTGCATATAATTTTAAAATAGTTTGAGCAAAAACTCTTATTACTTGATGAAGGATAAAACTGTTAAACTAAATGTTCAATTTTGGCGTCAAATTAGACGTCCACGTATATATTAGATAATACTAACTAGCAGGGTGAAGCCATCTAAAGTAGCGACAAAAAAGACAATAAATTGTTGACGCATAAAATGAGAAGACAATTTCCTTGATGCATAAAAAGAGAAGACAAATATATAAATCATTGTCTACTATTTGTAAAAGCCAAAGAAAACAAAAACTATACTAGCCATTTGCTCTCTTCATCTCTCGTTTTCTTTTTCTGTTTTTCAACTTTAGTTAAATGGCATGTACACATGAAAACATTTTCTTGAAACTTTGAAAACAGCTAAGAAATTTGATATGCTTTTCCTGAGAATAGAGTTCAATAGAGTTGTATTGAAAAAAAGAAAACCATGAAATAGGCATCAATTTTTTTTTCGGCTTTCTTATCTCACAAACTTTTTGTAAAGGAAGTGGAGAGGAAATACAAGAGAAATTAAATAAAATAAATTCTGCAACAAACAAGAAGTCAGTCTTTGATAGAGATCTGATTTTTTATCATTTTATTCTTTTTCACACCAAAGGATCGATTTTAAATCATGAAATGTTGACGAAATATTCATTGTGTTCTGAGTCCAAATAATTGCTGAAAGACCGTGTTATCACTAGACACTGTTACAACAGTGCACTTTGGAACAAACGTCTAAAAAAAAGCAATGTCGAAGTACACAGAGGTCATTTATTGGACAGAAGCAATATCTTCTAGTAAAAAAAAGGGGAATTTTAGTTTGGTAGACGGCTAGTAGTAACTGTGATGCCCATATTCGTTTTGTTTTCCAAATTTTATGAATATTTTAGAGATATATAGGAAATACACTTAAAATAATTTTTCTATGGTTGGTTTGTAAGGATTAGATTTGTTTTTGAGATTGTTATCAGTTTGAGAACCATTGAAAACCAGGGAGTACTGGACAGCTGTTTCATCCTATTTTTGGAATCATCGGCAGTACGTACCCACCGATGATTCCTAAAATAGGATGAAACAGCTGTCCAGTACTCCCTGGTTTTAAAATTATCTACAGAAAATAATACAAATAGTAATTATATTATTACAGGACACGTTATAGTATAAACTCTGAGCAGAAATTACGTGTAAATATCTTTGAATTGAACCCAATCTAATCGAGTTATTCACATTCTCAGTTTATTATTATTCCCTTGACTTTCTAATGGAACGCCAGGCTTCTAAAGAACTACTCCACTTCATTCAATTCTTTCTCATCAGTGTTTTCTACCTGGCTTCAAGATCACTCATAAACTTTCATCTGCTTCCCACACAACTTTCTTCATGTCATGTTCAGGGCGTGAAACTCGACGTTCCCCATACCGATTCTACTAAGTAACCTGCTTTCTATTTGACGCCACACAACAGTTTTCTCAGCGTATATTCACTCCATCTTCTTTTCCTCCTACCTGGTTTATCTGTTTAAATTTATCTATTTTTTTTTAATAAGGTATGAATGCGTTCCACTGGCAAAACAGCTAAATCTTGTAGTGCGTAGGCTAAGGCTGCCATAAATCAATTATATCTGCACCTGAAACAAAAAAAAAGACCGACTCAAATTCTATTCTTTTATGTAACTGCTTGATTAGTCTATTTAAGATCAATAACCATAGAATAAAGCTACATAAGCCTGTAAGCCTACTACTAATCAGTCGCTACTAGACTCTGGTAAACATTAAAGCAGTGTAAAAACAGAATTAGCTGATTTTGTAAACAGAAAAGATGAATTATGTCTCTATGAAATCAGTGAACAACACGTACAAAACTGATTTACTTTTCTCTCTGTCAGATTTATGATGCAATATCAAAGATTGGATACAATATAGTGTGTATGTTAACAACAAAATACCAGTCAGCTGATGCTTTGTTTTGAAAAATTAGATAAATTTTTCTATTAAATATGATTACCGTTTTATTTCGACCGGATACTTCACTTTGATATCTACGAATCCCCAAGAGATAGTCCTCAGCTTGTTTAGTCTATGAAAATTTTTACATTTGTTAGTTTAATCAAGTTCTATTGAGTGAATATGTCTGTGGATGTAGGAAAAAGACTTTTGTAAAGACATTTTGTTTCGGTTGAGATAAGAGAGACAAATTATTTTGTTTCTAGGCAAGTGTTTTTTTAGTAAAAAAGCAGCATCCAATGAGAGTAATTCCGATTATTCGAAAAAGTATTTTAGAAAGTAGTAGTTCATACCATCTGCTAAGAGACAAGTGGAATAAAGAAGATGTCAAGATGCACTGAAGAAAAAAATCAGACTGGGTAACGCTCCATCAGCGATATTGATTCGATGAATGTCTTTGCTTTAGTCAGTGTTCAGCTCTTTATTAAATATCTGACCGATTCCACCTTAAAAAGTTTTAATATTGTATATGTTATTTAAATTTTTAGCTGGTCAGTAAGGGAAATCAAACTTTTCAGCTAAAGATGAATTGAAATTACCTTTTTCTGTGTTTATTTAAAATTTTGCCACAAACATATCGACTAAGAGACGACCTAGAGGGGAGCCCACTGATACTCCCTCCACTTGACGATAAAACTCGTTGTTGAACTGAAACCGCACATTCATTGAACAACAAAGTAGGAGTTCATGAAATAGCAAGATGGCTGGTAGAAATACATACACCAATACAGCTAAAAGTGACTAAGTATGCTTTGAAGGACACGTCTGAATTTGTAGGAAAGTAAGAGATAAGAATATCAATGATAAAAAAAGATCTCTATGGATGTCACCTACCCGTTCACTAATGTCTCTTTATTAAAGACCATCGACTTCATCTGTGAATCACTTATAGAAAATGATATGGACGTAGGCACACCACCTCAAGCACTACTGGAACTGCTAATCCGTTGTACTATGAATATGCGGTTTCAATTTAACAACGAATTTTACGGTCATTTTGAAGGCATAGCAGTGGGCTGCCCACTAAGTCGTCTTTTATCTGATATGATTATGGCAATATTAGAGAATCGTCGACTCACTAACGCAATCAACGAACCCTCCTTCTTCTCTAGGTATATGGACAATAATTTTACTTAAGATTATTTGAAAAGTTCTTCTGTGAATAGATTTAATTGTTGCTTACTAAAATAAAACCATTACGCATTAAGAACGTATCCCATGACATAGACGTGAATCTCTCAAGCGTAGCGATTCCAAATAACTGTTTGTTTTAGCTGGATCACTCAAATATAACGACTGTTTACGTATGAGGTTTAACAGACAGTGTACAACAACGAAGAAATTCTTGACGAAAGACAAAGTAGTTTACACAGAATTGTATAAGCCATTATAATTCCACTAATTTCAGATTTCATTTTAAGGTTCGACCCTTTTTAATAAATTATTTTAGCTACTTAGACTTGCTAATAATAATTTGAATGTCTTAAAAATCTGTTACCGTCACAAAAACATGTTTTCCGATGACCAGCAGTGGATTTTGTGAGGTCATCAGGTGATTGGAACACATGGCTTCACACTTTGAAATTTCAGTAACAGTGTTGTGCTCCCCACAGGTTGCTAAACTCATGCCTAACTTCTCCCTTTCTCCTGGGACTTCTATGGGTTAGAAAAAGTTTAAGAGTGCACTGGTGAAGGATAGAAACAGGACTTCACGAGTAGCTTAGGAGCATTCTACCACTGAAGTGCCAAAGCACTGAACAGAACAACGGAAACAATAAATTTCTGTCTAGCATATGAAACTGCAGCATCAAATAACTAAACTGAAATGTGATCATAAGAAAAAGACGTAAACAGCGAAGGAAATCTTTTCGACGATTCATTTTTATAAGCTATGCAATCCTCGTTATATTCAATAAAGAATTCATAAGACCAATTAGATACAGGTAAAATTTGACCTCGAGAACGAATTACGTAATGTAAGGTGTAGTCTAGACGGGGTGACTAATCGGAAATCAGAAAAGGGGGTAGAAGTTGTCATGACGTAATAAGTGTGAGAAAATGACAAATCATTATAATTGTATGGAGTGGACAGGAACTAATGGAAAGACGGTGAAGTGTGTTTTTAAAATCTGCATGAAAAAGCAATGTTATTTTATACGAATTTAATTTTTGCAAATTTTGCCAGCATCTGGTTGGTCTTATGAATTCCTTAATAAATATAATGACGACTGTACAGCCTATAAAAATGGAGTGTTGAAAAGAAAGTTTTCTCTGTTGTTTATGTCTTTTTCTTATGACTCAATATGGGGATATTCCGTTCATTGAAACGTTATCATTTACTGCTATAATGCGCTCCTCTATTGTCTGTCATTCTATTATACTGTAGTTGCCTATTCTTCAACATTTGATATAACTTTATGAACATTTAACAGCTGAATTGAATAAAATCCTTCAACAGCGAATTCATGAAAATGTTCTCACTTTTCGAATGTCTTCATTTCAAAGTACAAAAACTTTTGAGGTAATTACAGAGCCCTTAATTAGTTTACGAAGTATGAATGCTTGGCACAACAGTCTCGTCACTCATAAAGTTTATTCAGTGATTTTTGTATTCTGAGTATAAATTACTCATCATTAAAAATACTATATGAAGCGTAAATTCTCTGAACCAAAATATTCCCTGCTATATGTCTTCATCTGTCAGAAAACTACAAACAAGCTGTTGAATATTCAAGAGGTACACTTAACATCGATTGTTACCACATACTAGTTTCCGGGGAGCCATAAAACCTATAAATTCCATCAAATAAATTACTCATAAAACAAACTTGATTACTATTCCAAAGTATCATATCTGAGGACATTTTTGAAAGACGTTTTCGTATTGGAGCCTAAGAGACCCATTTATTCGATGGTTTTGCGTTGGTGACACAAAGGTAGATTCTTGCCAACCACGCCCCTTGTGGTTCGGGGTTCGGACCCTAGCCGACGCACTCCTTTAATTTGCTAAGCCATTAATAAGACCGGTAAAGAGGGAAGGTTGTGTATGAGGCTGGCACCCCTATCCCGTAAAAAATTAAATACCAGTACTACCAAAATTTCAAAGCTCTAGCTTGAACCCCTAAGGGGGTTCATTGGGAAAGTAAAGGAATTAAATAAATAAATAAATAATGATAATTAGATAAGTCATACATGTTTATGTCCAAAGTCGCACCGAAATAAACAAATTTTCAAATCTAACAACATTATGGAGACCATTTGGTTGCAGAAAGGTTTTTAAAGGTTTATTATTGTTCTACGAACCACTGAGTTAAACATTTCTTTTTAAGATGTTATCACATACTGAATAAGACTTATTATACAACCTCTAAAACTGTGATTTCTCTAAGTTTAACTACTAAACTATTTTGTAAATGATAATTGTTGATTTTATATTTTTGGGAGAATAAAGAACAATAAAGATGAATTAGGCGGTAAATTTTATTTTCCTTTCATGTTATTTTTTTCTCTAATTGTTTAGTTACAATGGCATGCAAATGAAGAGCCAGATTACTATAATAAAGCGAATATTAAGGAAGATCTAGATAATGAAGTATTGACCTACAATATAATGGGTAAATTTGATGGCGTTTTGTTTGAATCAGATGTATATTTCTTTTCGTGATGTAACATAATGCAGTAAATTTATTTCTTATTTGGTATGAACTTTTAGGTTTTACTGTATATACAAAAATAAAGGAAAGTACATGAGAGTGTGCATCAAAACATTGGTAACTTGGCCTACAAGTGAATTTTTCACAGTCTTTCTTGAAGAATACAAGAACAAAGCTGTGATGCATTTACGTTGACTATAAAGTTAACCTTTTTATCTTATTGTGGTGGTATGATACGGACAATGTATTCCAACGGAATATTATTATCACCTATTTTCACAGTTCAGTACGGCGTTAGCAACAGAATTCGATGTATTTAGATTTGACACGAGTAACTGGTGTGATGTGTCTAGTCCTTTCTTCGATGCAGACTGAATTCTATCAGTCAGGTTGTAATGTAGCCACCATTTTAGGTAGCTCGCCATCACGGTGCACATTGATTTGATGATATTAGATGGTTGGAGGTAATCAGCAGGAAGCCTTGGACCTAAGTGTCGTGCTAGTTGGCATTCGTCAGCAAGGCGTATCTGCAACCTTGAAGGAACTCATTTCCCTTCTGACACACGAACCCAAACTGATAGAATTCTCTTTAGTGCAGGCTGAGTTCTATCAGTTCGGGTTCGTGTGTCAGAAGAGAAATGAGTTCCTTCAAGGTTGCAGATACGCCTTGCTGACGAATGCCAACTAGCACGACACTTAGGTCCAAGGCTTCTTGCCAATTACCTCCTACCAAATAATATCATAAGAATATGATGTATATTTGAACATTCTATTTTATGTCGTTTAAGGTGAGCCAAAATCACACTCTAAGTGATTAGTTAAAGAATATAAATTGTAGATGATATAAACAGCGGTTCGATCACTTGAAAATATACCTTGGCTTCCGTGTCTTGCCCTCAGCTGTTACATTATGTTTGATTTTGCTAAATAAAAAACTCATCACTAAAAAATATAGTGAGGATTACAAAATAATCACACAAAACCATGTTTGGAGACAGTAACCTTCTAGCAAATAAATTTTGAGTTAATGTTTGAATAATAATTGTTAAATTACACTTATAGCATTTCACACTTTTATATTGTTGTATAGGTCTTCAAAAAGCAACAACATATCGTGTATCAGTTGGTGCTTATAATATATTGTCTACTGCAACATCTTTTACACCTTATCTCTTGGCGTCCACAACTGGTAAGTTAAAAAAAAATGAGTTTATTCGTATTATGAACTTGCCATTCGAATCGCAAACTGCATTGCTAAACAACTCTTTATTAGGATGTACACACGTTCATTAGTGCATCGGTGGCACAACGGTTAGGACGCTCGCCGACCATGCACATGGTCCGAGGTTCGATCCCCGGCCGACGAACTCCTTCACCTCACTAAGCCAGAAATAATGATGGTAAAAAGGAAAGGTTGGACATGAGGCTAGCAACCCCATCCTGTAAAATAAACACTGCTACAGAAACTTCAAGCCACTAGCTTGAGGCTCTATGTTCCACTGGGGAACGTGAAGGAAAAAAACACGTTCATTAACAGTCGAATTCTAGATATACAGTTAGAAATAAGGAAGTGATTTATGTAATACATGTCAATATCTATTTGGACTGTTCAGCTATAAAATTAATGAATAAGTTGACCCAGAATTTGACGAAAGCTTACACAAAATAAATTTCACTAATATTTTCTTACTATTCATAAAATAGTCAAATTCAGAGATATTGAAACTTGGTGGGTTAATTTATGGGTGTTAACTTTGTTAACACCTAACAAACCTATCACTGTGAGTGCTCAAATATGAATTCTGTTCTGGAGATATTGTCCAGAGGGAAAATAAAAGCTTCGCAACTAAACCTCCCAGGTCAGAAAACACGTTGACATATCTGAATGTATCCGTAACTTATTATGTTACGTCAGACCTGACAGTATAAAATGGATGATATATATACTCATCGACTATAACTATCTTTACAGGATCTCATCATGAGCTCATATTGGTTAGAGAACCATTAGAAACCAACGCGGTGTAATGGACAGCCGTTTTGTCGGCCCACTTTCGGACACTTCATCAGTACGCACCCAGCCCACTGCGGTTGGAACCCAGGGCCTTCCGGTTATAAGGTGGGCTCGTTGATCATTAAGCCACTGAGGTCCGATCCAATAGCCCATGAATTCCAACTTATTCCAATTCACGGCAGTATGCGACTTTCACCTACCAATGTCATCGGTGAGTGATTTTCCTCACACTCAACTTGCTGTACCTGTTGGGATCTAGTAAGAAGTCGAGACCGGTGGGGTACAGCCTAATGACATACTGACATACTGTAATGCTGGTCTTAAACAAACTCAGAAGGCTAGAAGAATGAAACTCAGTAAACGCTTTTGGTATTCGATTTGAGTGAAAAACCAGTTTTTAGCAGAATTTTCCACAGAGTTATATTTAATAAGCAAATTAGGCTAGGTCAATGATCCATAAAATGATTCACTCTCTTTGATTACTAAATCATTATGAAATTTAGACCTAAAAGCAGATACTTTCAGAATCTTTATTCATTTAGTTTATGCTTCTACTGGAACTGTCTTTCCCATACACTTGATGAGTGAGTATTCCGACAGTTAAGTAGCATAAAATTTTATTACACCAACTTATATAAACACAACTAACTGTACTATTAGACTGTCAATTCAACCTCCCTATAAACTCTCACTATCGTACCCACCGGTATCTAGCAGTAGTTGAAAATAATACTCGTACATTTCTAATCAAAGCTAATAAACAATTAAATGAATTCAACGGCTGACAATTAATCCACTGCCTACTAGTGACTGACTCTCAGACAAACCTCCTAGAGTTCTAGTGAAGAGGCGAATGTAGTCCATCAAGTTGGATGTCACAAAATGTGCTTACAAATGACACTAGATGGGAATGGGTATATTTTGGTAACTGGCAAAAATTAGAATTCAGTGATTATTGGATTTTCACTCAGTGGTTAGATGACAGTGTGCTGGCCTCATAACTCACTTTCGATCTCCAGAGTGTTCATGGACTGGTCCTTCCGAGGAAACGGCTGTCTCAATACTGATTCGAGTTCGTGGGGATATCTACCTTATATAAACATAATCTGTGGTGTCACTGACGTCCTCCAACTCGCTGTTTCTAAAAGACATTTACCGGGTTTCATGCTACACATACTAAGTGTTGTAATTTATCTGTTAACGTTTTCTAAGTCATCAACTTTGAAATGATTCTAATGTCTTGCAGTGTTTGACTAAGTCAGGTATGTATAACTGATTTATTTGAAGTTTGTACACTGATAAAGCATCATTTAAAGTGGGACAAATATTAGAAACCCAAAATTACACATCACTCCTTTTTCAAAAGATCGCATTAGTGAAAAAAATTAGATTAAGACGAGTGCAAGGATGGAAATCCCCTTTGGGCAAACTCATTTCCATAGACGTATCCTCTTAGGTATATTTAAAATTAAAAAGATCACAACTGAGGAGGATTTTTTTAGTTAAAAAGTCAATACAGAATACTGCAAAGTGAATAAACAGTAAGCAGTACGTGAGCATTCAAGAACACAATTCATCTAGATGCACTTAAAAGACAAAAAAAAACTAAAGAAGAAGAAAGTGCCTTAAAAGTATTTTTGTTTAAGAAAAACAAAAAGCTTAAGTGTTATTAATGCTCAGTTGTTGTTTTTTTATTAATCCATCCATACCTCTTAGTTTATTTGAATGTATCAATCAAAGGTCTCTTGTAATTTCAAGTCCAACTGTTTAGTGAGACTTGGAATTCACGCTTATGTCTACCAGAAAATAATCTCATGGCTTTATTCAATTTTTGTTCATTGGTTCAGGTGGTTGTCATGAAAATATTGTAAATACTGTTAAGAATAAGACTTTACTAAGAACATCCCATTTATATGTAATAATAACAGATAGAGAACCATTGAAAACCAGGGAGTACTGGACAGCTACTATTTCATCCTAGACTGGGAATCATCGGAAGTACGCACCCACTGGGGTTCGAACCCAGGACCATCCAGTTACAAGGCAAGCTCGTATACCATTCAGCCACTGGGACCCGATTCAATGGCTCATGAGTTCTAATTTCTACCAATTCGTGATTTAGCGCGACCTCAACCATTGTCGTTGGTGGGACATCCATCCACACACGAATTGGTAGAAGTTAGAATTCATGAGCCATTGAATCGGTTTCCAGTGGCTGAATGGTATACGAGCTTGCCTTGTAACTGGAAGGTCCTGGGTTCGAGTCCCAGCGGGTGTGTACTGCCGATGATTCCCAAACTAAGATGTAACAGCAGCTGTCCAGTACTCCCTGGTTTTCAATGGTTCTCTATCTGATATATATCCGTGATCAACTCGTAAAAACATAACTAACCCTTACAAACCAAACTATAGAAAAGTAATAATAACAGCTTTTTCACTGAAATAATTTCAGCTTGATCATTTATTTATACATTTCATTATAACATTATCTTAAACAGCATTTGATTCAGTATCAGATGAAGAGGCGATGAGAGATGAAGCTAAAGCCAAATCATCACAGAAAGATGTACAAAAAGGACATTGGGATACTAAATGGTTGATGAATTCTAAAGACTCTGGAAATCCTGCAAATCCAGACTCACAAAGACGATCAGTTAGATCTGGTCATGAATTAAATTCTTCAGAGGACAATGCATTTGTGATAATTACAGCAGTATCTGTGTTCGGCTCATTTATCTTAATTGCAAATCTATTGATTATACTTATATTTACAAGAAATAAGCGCCAAAAATTAAAACGACAAGAGCGCAAGGCTTCTGGTAAGTAGTAATTAATGCCATAGTTATACTTCAGATGGTTCACTGTTTCTTCTGTTTTATTATGTTGAAGCTTCACACTATGTGGCACCTCAGAGAACCCTACAGTCCCATCGGTAAATCTTCACATAAGTTCCATAAGTGTCTTAAGGGTTGATAACTGTGTATAAATTATTCTTCAGCAACACATGAACTACTTAGAACAGTTTTGAATCTTCAAAATAATAAAATCACATATATTTTTCCCTGACTAACGTCAACAGTTAATAATTCCAAATAGAAAGTGACTACTACCTTATAGCTGTTTGATATCACACTTGGCAGGGTGGTATGTTAATTAAACAAACTTGTCAGACATTTGAGCAATTAGTTGGCATTTAGTTATTTGGTTGACTATTTACACCTTTATCGATACTTCCTGACATATAGGGGATAACAGCAAAATAAGATAAAAGTCATAGGTGCAATCTATTTCTGCAAACTGACAAACTGACAAATGGGAAAATAATCCAGCGTTGTAAGGTAGTGAAGCTTTACAAAAATTAGGCTCAAAGTTTTGTTCGAATTTAAACATGATGTCCAAGGACGCTATGTAAAATAAATAACAAATAAACAATAATATGGTTGAATTATGCATGAAATATCCAGAATTAACATTTTCGATGTTTACATTTCATGTATTAATGACTGGTTTTGACATTCATAATGTTTTTTGCGGAACAACCCAGATAATACGACAGAAGTCAGAATTTCTTCTTAGTCGACCAAGATGTAAACTAAGGAGTCATTATTCTGAGTGCCGAATGAAGAACAACCTAAATTAACTTGAAGGCTTTGTGAATTCAAACAAAACGAGATACCAGTTCCGCCAATGCAGTGTTTGCTTTATACGCTCAAATTGTTCAATAAACTCATTCCCAATCAGGAAGACTGATTTCCGTGTCTTAAATTCTGTTATCACGCTCAGTGTTTAACAAGTAATCCTGGTTCGGTCAAGACTTACTTCATTTGAAAAACCTGTAAATCAGTGAATTAAATTTTTCTCAAAGCAAGTATAACAAGATTTGCAACCTGAGCATAGCCTGAGCTATACACATAACTACTGAAATAAAATCACAGTGTTTTCTTCTGAGCAAAATGTTTTCTATTCCTCTCATTCAGAGTAAAACATGGGACTTACAGCTTTGAATTCTTAGGAACGGTAGTGCTGTTTTATGGGGGTAGAGATGCTAGACACACACCCAACCTCCCGCCTTTCTCCGGTTTACTACTGGTCGTGTAAGGTTTAGAAGCGCATCGTCCAAGACTCGAACCACGGACATTCCGAGCAAAATTAATTTAGGATATCACAGCTTTAAAATAAACCTCCTATTATCAGGGTTTCTTGTGTAACAGTTCTTGTCGGAAGTGGAAATTATCTAAACTAATTAAACTGTATGTAGCATATTTTTAAGATCAATCCAATAACTGTTCATTTAAATATTTAACTTCATACGGTGATTTCCATTCTTACAATATTTGTTTTTTGCCAGACTATAATGTTAAGTCAAAAAGTCATGCATTAGACACACATTTTACACAGGAATTTGGAAGAGATGCTATTGTTACTGTTCTAATAAATACTGACTTATTCTTTCCGCCTGATGTTAAAAGTTCATTGAAATACCCTGCTTTTAAAAACTTGCATTCAATGTATTATGACTCCTAGCTTTTTAATTTCAGAGATATCACCTAATTTTTGAACTCAGATACTTCAATGCCTTTCATTGGTAAACACAAGTCTATTCTTGAAGCTTGCAGTTGATAGAACTCTACAATAAAAACTTTAAAAACTCGCTTGTAGACTATACAAGTCCTGCATGGAAGAATTTAGTATCCTCCTATATCAACAAGCAATTAAAACCACTGGCGTGAATAAGATGGAATACAATAAATCCTGAGCTTTAGTTATTCCTGTTAGTTTCATAAGAGTGAGCATCTTCATAATTTTCATTGAAAACGGACGAGTAATCAGTAATCTATGTAAAATTATAGAATTGTAGACTATAACTAAAAGTATTGAAAAAAGGAGTATGTTAGAATGAAAACTAAGCATGGTAAATTTCAAAACAAAAGAATTACAGTGTTCATTGTTGTTTCTCTTCTGGTACTTGACCAGAGAATCTCGAGACAAAACTGATAACAGAATATGATGCAAAAAGATAAAATCTTTACCTTTATGTTCACTTATGTATACTAGCACTTTTCCAATAAGAAAGTGATAAAGTCTTCTAGAAAATGATGAGTAACATTTACTTTTAAAGTGAAACCATTTTCATGTGCAACTGCCTTGTAAGAAACGTGCTAATTATGAGGAATATCATTTGAAAATGACTCTTATTATTATAGTTATATCCTTTAATTCCTAGAGGAACATAAGGCTTCAACTGCGAGTCTCCATTGCCTTCGGTTTTCTGTCAGCTTTTTCACCCCACTCCAGGTCTGTACACATGCTTTCGTCTCCTCTTCACATGACCTCCTCCAAGTCACACTTGAACGACCAACTCGCCACTTCCCTTTCGGCTTCCACTGGAGGGCTTGTCTAGTGATGTCACTTGATGGTTTCCTCAGAGTATGGCCAGCCAATCCATCTCCATTTCTTCCTGCCTATTTGTTTCACAATCGGTTCCTGCTAGGTTGGTTCGCTCATTACCAGAGATCCCTGTTGCTGATATTTTCTGACCGGCCACCTGATCTTGAGTATTGAGCGAAGACAGCTGTTAATGAAGGTCTGAAGTTTGTTTGAGATGCTCTTTATGACACGCTGGCCAAGTCTCTGATCCGTATAGTAGAACTGACTTCACATTGGAGTTGAAAATCTGGATGTTATTTTTGATTGTGAGTGCTGTTGACCTCCACACAGACTTGAGAGTAATGAAAGCTTGTCTTACTTTTCCGATTCTGGCTTTGATATCCTCGTCAGTCCCGCCTGTAGTTGAAACGGTGCTTCCTAGGTCGGTAGGTGAAGGGAGTTGTTACTTTCAGGTTACTCCCATTTATGCTGGTTGATTGTTGTCTGTTGTTGTTGTTACTGTTGGCCAGGAATCTTCATCACCTCTGTTTTATCTATGTTCACCCGAAGTCCTATCTTCTCCGGATGCTTCTTCTGCCAACTTGTTGCTTTTCACTTGCATATCTTCCAGTTTGTGGGAAATCAGACATATATCATCGACGGGCGAAGTCCAGATCCTCCAAGTTTTTTGTCTGAGTCCACTTTATGCCTGTTTCCTCGCTGCCCGTTGTCTGTCGCATTATCCAATCTACTGCAATCAGGAAAATCATTGGCGATAGTAGACAGTCTTGCCTCACTCACGTCCTCACTTCGAAGGCTTCCTTAAGTTTCCCATTGTGGATTACTTGGCATGCAGCATTGTCGTACAACTGTTGGATGAGATGTGTAATTGTCGATGGGACCCCGTAGTAGCGAAGTAGTTGCCAAATGACTTCTCGATCTACGCTGTCGAAGGCCTTTTCAAAGTCGATGAAGTTGAGTGAGGTGGAGAGGTGACTGTCATTCCAAGCTTTGTTCAATGATGACTCTTAAAGATGACTAACCACTTGACCTAAAGTGGTATTTAAAAAACCTACTTTCTTTATATTTTTTCCATAGCTTCAGGAGAGCTGATGCAAATATACCCAATGGAAAATGGATATCCAGAGATACACACTAATCCGCAAACTAACTTTTCAATGTATCCAGATGAAATGCGTCTAAATGGCAGTTACATGTTGCAAGCGAATCCACAAGATCAGGTAAGTGCACTACCTCACAGATGATATTTGTCAGGTGTTTCACTAATTTCCAATTACGTCAGGAGGTAACACCAAATAGATAGTAACTGAAAACAAGAGAGTATTGGACGATCACTTCGTCCTAGTTTTGGTAGAATTCAGTGGTTCGCATTTATGACTCCTCTCGGATCGAATCCTACACCCTCAGGCTACAAAGTGAACCCAGTGATTATCGGAGCACTAAGACGGAACCCAGTAACCAACGAATTCTAATTCTGAGTACGACTCAGACACATGCACTTAACCTCTCCTCATGGAAAAAAAATTATCCACTAACTTGAACAACAATCAGTTGGTTATTAGAGACAGAAAGTTCACTAATCAATATCATTCTCTCCACTGTTATTCAAAGGTCTTACTCTTTTTAATCTTCTTTCTGATTATACTAGTGTATACTCTGCGATTGAGGTGCATATCCTTATAATGATAGATATAAGTTAAATATATTGTGAGGTGTTTCGGAGAAGCAGTGATAATTTACGTGTACCTGGAAAACGTGTTGTTAAATAAGCACGTGCCACAGCGGTGACATTCTGAAAAAAAAATAAGCAAATAATGCTAGTACAAAGTGGATGAATGATACTACTTCAGAATAGTGGAACAAATACAAGATTGATTATTTTATTATCCTTCGTTGTAATTTATCTTGTGATTCATTACGTATGTCATCATTATACACGAGTTTATTTGCTTGATCGCTTTTCTAAGTAGGTTGGATATATGTTATACAAAGCATAATTATTTTGAGTTGTTACTCTAATATCCTAATTGTCTGAGTTGAGCTTTTCCGGAGTACAAGCTAGACGTAATTGAACGCAATGTAATAAAATGTTTCCGTCCAACTTATTCAAAAGAATTCTCAAGTAGAAAAAGGCTTGACTCTTAGTAACTGTACACATCTGAACCTTACAATTCCGTGTACGAATTCACTATGTTTATAATATGCGTCTAATTATCACTACATGAAATTTTAACGATAAGTGAAAAATAAACACTTTTGTTCATCAGTTGAATACAACTAGATGTGCATGATATTCAAGTATTGGAGGGCTGTTTCGTCTTAGTTTGTGACTCTTCAGCAGCACGTACCCATGGGGTTTCGAACCCAGGACCTTCTGTTTACAAGGCCAGCGAGCTCGTAGACCACTGAGCCGCTGGGAGCCGATCCAATGCTTCTTGAATTCTAACTTCTGCCAATTTGTGACAGAGTGCGACCATTTTGCAGCGTCTTTTTGGATGAGTTACTGCCTCATCTTCTACCTGCTGCAACCTACTGGTCACGGCTCATGATGAAATCCTCCATCCAATCAAACAAAATCCCTACAAAACCAATACTTTGAAATTCAAGTATTCTATTGTACAAAAAGCATTTAAATCAGTTATATGTGACCCATAAAATGTCAGATTGATTAGTTTCTCGTTTATATGGTAAGTTTTTGCACACTGTCTGATGGGACTACTTTTAAGTTCTTCAGATCGATTAGTTAACTGTGTAAATTTTAGAATACAGACTTCAAGCTGATTTTGGAGACAGCAGTCAGCTGAATTTTAAGGCTTCAAATGTATATGATTCAAGGGATTTTACTCTAAATTCACAATCTTACCTTTTCTGATAATTATTAAACAGAAAAGATAAACTACACAATTTCTTACCTGGGGTCATATATGAAGAGAAATAGCGTTAAATGCATTAAATCAATTAGTTTTAACTAATTGATTTACATAATGGTGAGTATTACCTTGCCATAGTGATTAGTAAAAATGATAAATTCTGTATATAATCACTTATTTTGTGTAAATATATTGATTGCCTCGAATAACTGCTTTACCTTTCATTCAATTTAGTTTTCACCTTTTCAAAATGGATGGGAGCAAATACCTTTGAACATATGTGCAGATCAAACATCATCGATAATGAGAGGAAATCAAATGTTTACAAACTCCCCTCACTCTAGCATGAAAGCTATGAACATGCAAAACTTTAATTCTCCAAATCATATTGAATTTAACAATCGACCTCCTAGTGATATATCAATCCAACACTCATCAGTCTTCATGAATAATCCAGACCCTAACACACTAGCATATTTAAACCCAGATGCTTCAGCAATGGAAGCTATCCAGAATATGCAAGATTATCATGATTGTCCAGAATTTATGCAAACCAATTTTTCAAATAATACCTCACCTTTTAACTATGATATGGATCATATTCCTAGAAATACTGAGCGTCCAACTCCTACCCATCCACGAGTTGTAAGTGTTGGAAGAACCTTAACAGACAGAAGCAACAGAAATCGTTCTCCGCATTCTGGAGCTGCTTCTAGTGTTTCAACTATTAGATCAAATGGACACGGTAATACTAACAGTTTAGAAAGAAATATCTCAACTTTTCAACGATCACATCATACAAATTTGCTTGGTGATTATAGACAACTTGGCGTTGGCTTGACATTACCAAATGGTGGCTTAGGTCCAAATATATTGACCCCAAGTCCTCATCAGAATGCAAATTCAAGGAATTTTCAGAGTTCACCAAGTAATTGGATACAACAGAGTGGGATGACTACCAGCTTTCATGGAGCTCGAACACCATCATGGAGACATTACCCAAACTCTCTTGGAAATGGTAAATTTGGTTTCTTGTTTAACATATATGTATGACTCAGTACTTAACCTCACTTAGCCGATAATAAACCTGGTAAAGAGAGAAGGCTGAGGGAGAGGCTAGCAATCTCACCCCCTAAGACATAAACATTGATTCCAGATAAACTTAAAAGATAAAGCTTGAAGTTCTGTATTCTACCACAAACTCGAAATACTAAACAAGCAGAAAATTAGTAAGTTTAATGAAACAATATAAGTTAAATGGATAGTTGTACTACAGTGTTACATTTCGAGAGTCAGTTTATGCATTAAGAAATCATTACGATATAAATGGTAAAGAAGTCAATCACTCTTGCTACAGACTTTGGAATCACGATATTTCATTGAATTTTGGTCATTCATCAGTATTTAGCAGAACGAGTGAAGATAGAAGGTGTGTATAATTAATTTTATGCAAAAATAAAATCAAAAACACCATAGCATAGTCGGCTGTCTCATGTCAGTAAATTTCAATAGTTGCTTAAAAATTTCTTTTAAAGCCTCAGTTGGTTGTAATATCGCGTGAAAAAAGCAGTCGTTTGAATTTTACCCTGACCCAGGTTTTGTTCTAGCACTGGTTCTTCAAGTAACTCACAAATTAAGTAAGGAAAAGATTTACAGACCAGTTATCAGTTCAAAAATAGTAAAAGTGTCACACATTTATTTGATTTACACAGTAAAACACATTTTCAGTATAATATTTTCCTCACCCATTATTATTATTCTGATGAGGTGGTTTCAAAGACTAGTTCGTCATGATATTTCTTCTGACAGTACATTAAAGTTTTTATGGAAAAGAACTACAAACAAATCGGTTAGTGGTATGCATGACTTGAAGACTAAGTTGTTTTGGTTAGGCAAGACTAATTGAGATAATAGGTAAGCATAGTCATTTAAGTGCCTACTACTATTGAGCAGTGGTTCAAGTCGACATGTTTCACATTTGCATACAAAGCAAAAGTAAAGAAAATGCCAATCCAAAGAGAATGATACAATAAAAGTTTTCAAAGTGTTGATAAAGGATGGAAAATGCGTATAGTAGATCAACTCATAAAACTACAAAATTAAGAATTCAATCTTAAATGGAGTTACTGTTATTAGGATACTGACAAATTAAGCATTCATAAAAAGTAAAGTCCTACGCTTATCTCAATTATATACATTTATTTATTTTTACTATAACTATTATCATTTTCAGAAGAATATGGCTCATCTGCTTTATCAGGACAACAAATGGGAAGAAATTCATACAATGCTTTTGCACAACAACCATTACTACAACGTATGAATAGCTTTGAGTTACCTGATAGCTACACTCCTAATAATCGCCAACAAACTAATTCAAACAAGGTTAGTATTGCTATGAAGTAATTTTTAATATGCTTTAACCACCACAGTATTAATTGTTACAAACTGAGGGTGAATTTTTATGAGCATGTAAAGTGATAACATGATTTGGAAGATTATTTCAACTTACCTGATAAAAATCCATCACTCATGTGTAACCTTATCTTAATACATCACACATAGTGAAATTCTGAAAGTGCAAGAATGAACAGAAAGTAAAGTAACTTTCACAAAGTAAAAGATGGGCTTGTGAGCGTCGGCGGCACAGTGGTTATGACTCTCACCGATCATGCACATGATATGAAGTTTGATTCCCTGCCGACACACACCTGATACTAATAGTCGACCTGCAAAATTTAAGTTACCGATATCACATGCTGAAAATTCCATACCTGTACTAAAAGATACGGTATGGAATCAAGCTGTCATCAAAAATTTTAAAAACAATAAAAATTTAGATTATCTACCGAATACTAAGTGGTGCCCAGCACAGTCAGGATTCAAAAAAATAGAAATCTGAGGTGGAAATGACGACACTGAGATATCAATTATATATTTTTCTGGAAGTTTTTGCTATCACTTCCTTCAAGATTCACTCTGAGTGCAATTGATCTAATAGGAGTAAAAGATTACTTAATTAACCAGTTATAACGACTGTAATTCTTTTTTCTGTTTATATCTTATATCTTATTACAGAGTTCTGACGTTTCATCACCAAGATACCATCAAGAATCTTCTCTAAAATATATGACTCATTTGGAAGAGAATAGGACACCATTGGGACAAAACAATAATGATTATAGGAATGTAAACACAGATTTCCCTTCTAATGGCTCTACTATACCACCACCGAATGATTTTCAAACAAATAGTTCACATATTCCTTATATACAAATTAACTGTTCAACTCCAACCGTTAGTAGACCATATTTTCATAATCCAGATGAGAATGAGAATATCATTGTACCAGCCGGTGTTGATGGAGATCATATACAAGGAAGCAATCAACAGCGTCTTGCAATACCCAGAAATATTTCCAATGAATTAATGACACATCAGAATCAAAATAATTATTCTTCTTATGGTTGTGTTTTATAACATTAGGCATCCTATAATAATAGTTTATTTGACTAAGTCCTGTTTTAAAAATGTACAGCAGTATATATATATATATATGTTCAAGTGTAAACCAAAAAATGCTGTTGATTTGTTGCCAATAATTTTGTTTGCTTCAAAAATTGTAAATTTACCAGCAACACAGTGTTTTGCAACAATTGTACAAAAAGCATTTATTGTAAAATATCTTTTAAGAGTGCTATTCAAAAAGAAAGCTACCTATTGTTAACATGACTTCATTTCATTTCTAAACGTTTTTAAATGCAACAAGCTATATTAGTGGGTAGGAGGTAAATATTTCGCTTATATATTAGATTCCTATGAAGAATCTTGGTGAAAACGGTTTGGTAATAATATTCAAATCTATGTTCTCTAACTAAGATAAACCGATACTTCATCCTTTCCAAGCATTGGCTTTGTAGGGATTTTTTTGACTGAATGGAGGATTTCATCATTAGCTGACATCAATTAGAGAACCACTGGAAAACCTGGGAGTACTTTTGAGCCAGCTGTCTTGTCCTAGTTTGGGACTCTTCATCAGTACACACCCATCACCAGGGTTCGAACCCAGGACCTTCTGGTTACAAGGCGAGCTCATAGACCGATGAGCCACTGGTACCCCGACCCACGAGCCCACCTTGTAACCAGAAGGCCCTGGGTTCGAACCCTGGCGATAGGTGTGTACTGATGAAGAGTCCCAAACTAGGATGAAACAGCTGGCTCAAAAGTACTCTCAGGTTTTCTAGTGGTTCTCTAAATGATGTCAGCTCATGTCATGTCAGCTCCATCCAATGATACTTCATCCATTTGAAAACAGCGTTCTGATAGTAAAGATCAATAAAGAGTGTCAGATATTAATGTCCACCTTATGAGAAAGTTACAATCTCAATAAAATGATCGTTGTAGTAGGATAAATTATCAGAAAATTTAAAGAATGTAAAATCTGAATCAATCACCTTTCACAGGGTGTAATACAGACAATGGGCTCCAACAGAATATTTTTCTCACATTAAGAATCATTGTGTTTGGTGGTGTTAATGTCTGAATACTATTCCCACAGTTCATTACTGAGTGAGCAACAAGAATAATATATGTATTAAAAGTCAATCTGAACGAAGAATATTCTTTTCAATAATTTCTCTTCAGGTTCTTACAATTATAAAATATAATATTTGTGGTCGCTACAATAAAGGCCAGTTATGCAGCGGATACATTTTTAACGCAGAATAGCAGATTAGTTATGGGGTGTCAAAATAAATAGTCATATTTGTGTGACAAACGTGCTAGGCTGAAATCGATTAAAAATATTGTAAAGCGGGAGACAATGGTGGTGATTAATCATAACAGAATTGTAGAGTGTGGGGTAGGAAAATTGACAAATCAGTTAAAGGTTATAAAAGGTGTCAGGTGAGTGGCTAGTACAAAGTGGTATGTATTAAACAGGAGATAGTAAGACTGCAATGAGAGGTTCATAATGAAATAACGAATATGGGAATTGAAACAGGTGGAGGCATATATTGAGAAAACAGATAATATCACTAATAATAAGTCCGTATAAATGAAAATTCTATAGTATTGAGGGAATGTTTGCATAAAGGGCATAAATTATGACGAATAATAATAACTGCAACAATAATATTTATAATAATAAGCAAAGTGAAAAAGAAAAAATACCAAGAGGGTTAAGGGGAAGGAGCACTCTTGGTGAGAAGAAGAATCTTCAATCCAAGGTTGGCCACGGTAGGAACAGCGTCTGGACGTGTTCTTTTTGGATACAAAGTTCAGGTTTAGTCGATCTTATTGCAACAGCTTCAGCTATGTGTAGGAGACGTAAGCGAACTGTACGTGATAACGACTTCGGAATTCGGTATATAACTCTGAAAGCTGTGTTGACATCGATGCGATGTCCAGTATCGACCAAGTGTGACGGGATCGAGCTTTTTATGCTCTTAGTTCCCCCCCCTTGCTGAACCAAGCTGGTAAGTGTCCTCGACCCCGTAGACTAACCTGCCTAATCGTGCGCCCTATATAACTTGAACCACAGGAACAGTTGAAGTGGTATATTCATGAAAAAGAGCTAAGGTTAGGTAAGACATCTTTGAGTTGCTGAGTGAACATTGGACGGCTAGTGAAGGATAGACACAGACGTGCAGAGAAGAAAGTTTTCTTGATCGCCCTGGTTAAACGTTGGGATAGAATCTCCGCAGGAGTATCTTCCTTGAATTGGAGACGTAAAAACAAAGGCTTTTTCTCCACAGTTGCCAGTTCATGTTTACGACTATTATAACCTATGTTGGCTTTAATGAACTTCTCTGGATATCCGTTCTCACTTAGAATGTCTCAGATGATCTGGAGTTCTTTGTCTATGCAGTCTTCGGAACAAATAGACCTCGCTCTAAATGCTAAGCACCTGATCAGATTACGTTTGTATTTCATCGGTACGAAGCTAAGGAAATGTGTATACTGAGCTTTAGTCTCTAGCTTTCTAAATATGGTTCTTTTGATGAAACCATAATAATAATAACCATCCTCTCTTCTGGTTAGTAGGACGTCGAGGAAGTGTAAAGAGTCGTTGTATTCTCCTTCGTAGGTGAAATGGACCGCTGGGTGAGCATTATTGAAGTTGTTCAAAATCAAATCACTATTTAACCCTTCATCGTACACTACAAAAGTGTCATTCATGTAACGACAATACATTTCCATTTTCGCTATTTCCTCTTTCAAAGGACTATTTTCTAGTTTTGCTAGAAATATATTCGCGAAAATAGGTCCCAGTGGGAATCCCATGGCTTCTCCATTAACCTGTCTGTATATTTCATTATTAAATAGGAACTGAACATTCGTTGTGCATTTAACAAGTAGTTGTTTCAGATTACTGATAGGAATATCAGTAGGCATGGGATCCCCACTGGGACCTATTTTAATTCATAATATGGGAATATTTCACACTATCAAATAATGTATATATTTGAACATTCTACTTCATGTCGTATGATGGAAACCGAAATCACACTCTCAGTGATTGGTTACAGAATATAAACAGTATAGATATAAATAGTTGTTTGATCAGTTGAAAATATACCTTGACCTCCGTGTCTTGCCTTCTGCTGTTACAATACCACCTAAATTCTTCATCCTTCTCTTCAGGATCGCAATTCATAATTCGATGTTAACCTTACAAATGAAGTAGAAAACCCACTGGCTTCGTATACTTTTACATATTTAAAACAAACATCCTTCCCACAAAGTAGCGGGACCGCACAGATCGTGTTTCTTTTATTTATTCACCAAATTTCCAATTAAGCTGAATGTCTACAAAATCTGTGAGTAAATGTACAATAGGCTAACTTACGTGAATAACAGAAAGTTTAGAAGCATAATTGGCTGAACAAAAGAAAGCTTAAAATTGTTGAATTCATTCATTGCCATGCTAGTTCATTTAAAAATGAATAATGAACAGACAGACTTGTCATAGTAACCGTAATTATTTCATATTATTATGCCTAATGAAGACATAGTTTGAAATAAATCATTTATGATGTCTAAAAAGTCAAATACTCTCCCATCCTAAATATTATGACTGAATGATGTAGTCAAAAAAACCACAAAAATGCGTTTAAAAATACAATGGTGGTTTTAAGTTAATAAAGACAATAAATATAAAGCAGAATTATTTATTTTTTTCTTATGAGTAGTTATTATTTATTTATTTTAATTTTTTGCAACTCATATGATTTCTATATTATTTATTCTGTGATAAAAAATAAATGTCTCATTTTGCAGTATTTTTTTTATATTTCTGCTTGCTCATAATTTGATAGATCATAATTGGAACTGTGCTTTTCAATTCGATCTTTGGTTTCTAACATTTGTTGGCGTATTCTCGAAGGCATTTTAGCATAAACATCTGTAAACAAGAGTAAAGGATTCGGCTTGTTCTTTGCTTCACAGCTGACAAATGTTTCCATTATCTATTGAACAAAAGGATATATAATTCATGAGAAATAACTTATTGCCTGGTATTTAATATTTTATAAATAGTTGTATTTCTACAGTTTCAACTTATCTGTTCACAGTGAATTCAACCGATAACCCTACAAACTGGTAAGATGTATGCAAGACGCATGTATTACAGCAGTAAGAACACACAGATATACAAAAAAAAACTACAAAAAGGTGAAAAGTAGAATCCTTTATACATTTCTAAAATTCAGTAAACTAATTTAATGTTGGTCAGACAATCTCATTAACAAATAAGACTTCTAAAGAAACATTAAACCCTTATTTCCATTCACATTTAATTTATTTTTAAAGAAATAGTAATCATGAAGTTACTTTTGACGACCAGGAAAATTGCAATCAAAAGTGGAGAGAATTTGTTTAAGAAAACACCTTGAAATTGTAATAGGGTACAATTATTATTAACTTTTGTGTCATGTTTGGCCTAGAGTAAGACAAAAATAACCAAGTCGGCGTAGAATCCACTCAATTTGGAAAGGTATTCACAAGGCCACGTGTTTTCCACTAAATGGACGTATCAAAAATCAGACAGACTCTGTCATTTTCTAGAAATTGGAGACGAAGCCTACTGAAAACAAAACTGAGAAGTATAGAAAATGCATGGTCAGACCATTATCTAATACAACGAACCTTCAATATCTAACTGAAGCCCTTCAAAGAAGTCAAAGATAGACAACAATTTAAGTTCAGTACTCAGAAACTGAAGGACGAAGCTACGAAAGAAACCTAAATAAATATCTTAGACAATCAGGAAGAAGAGGAAAGACAAGTAATTTCTTTCAATGGAAAGTATTATAAGGGAGAAGGATGGTGAGGCAGTGCAGAAATGAACAACAAGAGGAACAGCTGAGCAAAACCTGCAGAGCACTGATAAAGAAAGTACAGAAATGTGTAAAGAAAGACAAAAGACGCCCTGACAGCACATTACCAACTGAAGTAGAACAGGCTGAAGTTAGGGAAGACCTCAGAACACTACTTCAAATATCCAGGTTGCTATCCGTTGGGAGGTCAACGCGGTAGAAAGTGGAGGACAGCCGATTACAGAAGGATTGGAACAAAAGAAATGCTGAACTGACCGCTTCTAATAACACGAATCGAACAGTTCCTGAGACTCGTCCAGAAATAACACCAGCAGACATATAATTACGAGTGAACACGTCTTGAAGACAATAAAGTTACTGTAAGCAGCGAATGAAGAGTGATCAGATGGAATCTACCGAAAAGCACTGTAGACAGACGCACAAACCTTAGCAGACATGCTTTAATAGAGAAAATGTATAAGGAAGGAGAGCTACTTCCTGACTGGAAGAAAGGCTATCTTGTCAAATCACTAAAGAAGGGTGACTGAAGGCTATGCGAGAACCGGCTCAGATGCATGCTTCTTTTCATAACAAATAAAATATTAAATCGCATCATCCTTTAGAGATAATCTGGGTGAAGAAACTCGACCAAGACAAGTTGGATTAGGGAGAAACAGATCATAAGTGGAATGAATTGTGACAGTACACATTATCATCAGATTTGAAAAGGCATTCAAAAGTGTCACCTGTGAAGTAATTCGGTAGCATTTTCATCGCTACGAAGGGCAGTGTCGCAAACGTTTATTGACCTACTTCACCTCCTATATGATGATATCAAATGCCAAACGATTCACGATAGAGGACTTGCCAAAGCCTATTAAGTGAAGACAGGAGTGAAATAAGGCCGATATCCATAACTGCAGTGGATTGAATCATGCTATGCGCTGTGGGCATTGAGAACACAGCTAAATGTTGGACTGACGAAAAGAAAATAGAAAATCTGGATTTCACACATGATTTCTGTCTCATTCCGAACAAACTAGAAATTGTGTTAGCGAAAACTAACAGTTTAACAAGATAAGCAGCGAAAACAGATCTTTGGGTGGACATAGAAAAGACAAAGACAACGAAGATGCCCAGCCGACTACAAGTAACAATCACCATCGGTGGGAGAAATCTGAGGTAACACTGTTTCAACTGCAGTCAAGCATGCATGAGAGTGTCAGAGACAGCCAGGGTCTGAAAAGCAAGGTAGATGCTTATTACTCTGCAATCACTACGGAGATCTACAGCGCACAGCACAAGGGACAAGTTACGGATTTCCAGAACTAATTTCATTTGACTGCTTCTACATCGTCCGCAGACTCGGTCTACTAGTCACAGAAAGCAATTCCAACAGACTGTGGACATTCATCAATGGCTGTCTTTGCCCAATACTGAAGAATAAGTAAAAAGGAACTCTGAGAGTGAATCACCAAACAATATATTGCTCAATAAGTATATAAGAGGTAAGTGAGATGGACTGAATGTACGCTGAAACGATGTTTTATTGACACTAAAGACTAGGTAGGCTCTTGAGTGGAACCTGAACGCGGAGTGACAGGTCAGGTGCGAGGGAATCCAAGGGAAACATAATAGAGATCGTGTCATGAGGTGGCAGCTTGCAGGAAGTCGTGTAGTCAGCGAAAAATGACGCCAAAAGACAGATTACAATGGAGGTGTAATGCTGAAGCCCTATATTCAAATCGGAATACAAGAAATGTGTTAGAATATGACTTTGTGGTATTCAGTTGACTGTAAATCCTAGATTCGTCTTTTAATGGAATCTTCAAGATTATTTATGCGTTGGTGATTCAGTGGTGGAACACTCACCAACCAAGGAAATGGTCCAGAGTTCAGTTCTCAGCCGACACAATCCTAAGCTTCTCGTAGCCTGTAGTAAACTGTGTGGAAAGGGAAGGTTGGGTGTGAGGCTAGCACCCCCACTCAGTATAGAAACACGACTGCTAACGATACTTCAACTGAGAACGAAAAGAATAAATTAAAAAAGAATAATAATAAATTTAATAAATCAAGATTATTTAGCCTTCTCTCATAATAAAGTTGTATGAAATGATTGAAGTAGTAAGTGTGACTTTGGCATCCCAGATACTAGTAAATGAAAGATAAACATCAAACACTGAGTATATTTTGCTACCTTCCCAGTTTATTTAGCGTAATAAAACCACAGAAAGCAGCAACTGACTGTTTTCTCAAAAAAATTTGACACAGATTACGAGCTAATGAGTAATATGTGAGGAGAATAGCTGAGTTGTTATACATCTTAACATTGTAATAATCAATCTATCAGTCTTTAGGTCACATTGATTGGGATTATTAGTGCTAGTGATCGTCAAGTGGAAAATTAAATCTCACTTCCACCTTGACTATTCATATATCCATAAGTAAAAACACACTTTTTGTTCAGCGAAGAAATTTCTTTTCAACGACTTCATTTTCAAGCTGTACAGTCGTATTTATATTACAGAAAAAGGTTATTAAGTGGCACTAAATAATTGCTCAGTCAATGTACGTATATGCGATAAAAGTTATAAGGGGTAGAGTTGAAGTGGATAAATTACAAAAATATTAAAGATTGTTCTATAACAAAAATGTCAAGTGTTGTCTAAAAATTTTGAAAATTAGGAGTACGATTACGATAAGAATGAAGATGTGAAGTGAAGTGGAATAAATTCAAGTGGTAAAATAAAATAAAAACTAAAAATAACATTATTATGACCAAGGTAAAAAAAGGGGTTTGACAAAACGCTTTTGAACACCTAATTTAGGTTTCTGTTCATGTATAGCTAAAGCTTCGGCTATGCATAAGTGAAGAAAACGTAAACTTTTGGATCGATTCGATTTTGCCATGTAGATAACTTTGAAAGATGAATCACGTGGGGCTAAATGACCAGACTCTAACAGGTGATCACAAATAGACGACTTTGCAGTTCTACGTTCGACTTTCATTAACCAAACCGGATAGTGTTCAGCTACACGTTTTCGGAGATTACGCTTACAACGTCCAATATAAACAGCTCCATAAGAGCAAGTAAAACAGTAAATGCACATAGATGTGGACAAAAGCGGTAATCTATCCTTGACGCATTGTCTGATAATATTTCGGCTGGTAAAAACTAGTTGCAGGTCAGCTGCAGGAAAAGTGCGTTTAACACATTTAGATAAACGATTTTTAATCAATTCTGAAATGGTGTCACCTTTGAATGCAAGACTCATAAACAGCTTTTTCTTTGGTACTGTGACTTGTCTCGGGGCGGATTCTTTCTTGATGTTACGTTCAATGAACCTTGTGGGATAACCATTGTTAAGGAGATTTGATCGAAGGTTATCTAGTTCCCTATCGATTGTCTCTGCAGAGCAGATTTTACGAATTCTTGAGCATAAGGAATGAATAAGATTTCTCTTTCTCCCTAAAGGTACCCAACTGTTGAAGTTAGTGTACTGCCCAGTGAATGTTGGCTTTTGGTAAATCAACCTTAACAGCGTTCCATTTTCTCTTCTATCTAGCTTAACATCAAGGAAGTGAAACGAAGAATCCGACTCTTCTTCGATCGTGAAAAGCAAAGATGGGTGAGAACCATTAAATATTCTAAGAAGTTCGGCAGTTGAAGTGTTTTCATCACATACAATGAAGGTATCATCAACATATCTTTTATACATAAACAGACTATCGATGGTTTCCTTTAGTGGGCCATTCTCTAAGCTTGCCATGAAAACGTCCGCTAAGAGCGGTCCTAAAGGAGACCCCATGGCGACTCCATCCCTTTGGTTGTAGATGACATCATTAAATCTAAATTGCACATTCAGTGTGCATCTCAATAGTAGTTGTTTAAAATAATCAGTTGGTAAGCCAATGTTCATGCTATTTGAATCAATATACTCGCATAGATAGCAGATAGTGTCTACTAGTGGTACATTTGTGAACAATGAACAAATATCTAACGAAATCATATGGTTACCAGTCACACTAATTTCAACAACACAACTGACGAAGTTAAAAGTGTCGAAAAGACTATGTTTACATAGATTTAATCTAACTGGTTCCAGAATTTCATATATCGCCAAAATAAACATCGGTTAATTAGAACAAG